TAATAGTGATTTAAAACCCTAAAGGAGAATTCTTTGTGTTCAATGTCCTTGGACAATGTAAATAAAGTGGAGTCCCTTGACTTCATTCAGCTGGATTTCTTAACAAGTCTGCAACTGCCTTCTTTTGGGTGACTTTTTGACTCCCTTGATTGGCTGATGGATTGCATGCCTAGCGACTACATAAATAGAGGTGACTTCCTAATCTAGCATACAGTAAAGCCCTGCAATTTTCTGGTGACTTCCTGTCACCTGTTTAGTAGGTACAATCCTGTATAGCTTTTGGAGAACCTCAAGATTAATTGGGTGCTGCCATCTCGTGGGGAAGAGACGTATCCTCCAGCTGAGCTTGATTTGGGATTTGGCCAAAGATTGCAAAACCTCTGGAGTGGAAATGGGATGTGGTGCTGGTGCTGGTTCATACTTGTGGTGCTGGTAGAGGAGGAAAAGGAAGGAATGCTGGCTGGGGAATTCTGGGAGTTGAAGTCCATCCATCTTCAAGTTTCCAAGGTTGAGGAACAGTGGCCTAGGGAAAGGCAGACGGGATGAACACCTCTGCTGCAGACTGCTAATTCTGGCACCATTCAGAGGCCTCTACCAGAAGGCAAACCCCGAAAAGTGGAGCCGGAGGAATTTGGGGGCAGCACATTTCAGCCCCAGAGAGTCTCCTGTGTGTCCCAAAGGTCCCGGGAGGAGGTCTCCACGTTGCACAATGTCTTGGCCAGCAGAGCTGGGAAAATCATGTTGCATCCAAAACCCTGAAAAGCCACATTCAGGCGGATGAAGTAACGCAGTGCAAAAATAGACACCAAGGATCTGGCTTGGCAGTAAAAAGACAACTTTGGGCCTTGTGTTATAAAAACAATAAAGGGGAGGGGCAGACCAGAAGCTCCCAGCTGGGTGCGCTCTTGAACACTTTGGGTGTGTCACCCAGAGATCTTATTTGCAGAAGGAAGAACTATCACATCCATGGCTGATGGTATTCTGCGTGTGCAGCAAATAAAACCAAATGCCTTATTTGTCTTGACCACAGCCATTCTCCGCATTGGAGCCAATCGTGCTCCTCCAGGTAGGAGTGGGAGAGGCATAGCCACTAAGAGCCCCCTCCCCCTTCTGTCTCCAGGATGCTCCCTTTGGTTCCTTGAGAGGCTTCCTTGGTTCTTCTGGGCCAGAACTTCAGCAGCTGGACACATTCTGTGTTTCTTGCAGGGCTTTTTGGAGTGTTTCCTGAAGATCCATTTTCTCTCAGACAAAACCCTACAGAACTTGAGGGCTATTATCCAAGTAGCAGCCCAGCTGGGATCCTGGCTAATTCTTGCTGCAACAACGTGACTTGTCCTTGGAAAGATTGACAGTAAAGCTGTTAGCTATCTAGAAGCTGGACCAGCAAGGAGACAAAGAGGTCTGGAAGGGTGTGGGGAGAAGGCACAAGGATGCCAGAGCAGAATTCGGCTTCCTTGTCTCTTGGACTTCAAATGGCTGAAGCCCCTGGTGACCGTTTGGTCAGTATAGAGCAGAGGAAGAAAGCCCACAAGCTTGGAATCCACTTGGACATAGCGTTTTCATGCCGCCATCTTGACTTTTTGACCCAACCCTGTGGACACTCTGAGCAGCAGGTCATGTTTGGCCTTTGACAAGGGGGACCCTGCCAAGCTTTTCATCCCTGAACAAGCTGCCAGACTTTTCCAGGTCTCAGCCCAAATTAATGAAGGATTTCTATTTCTGCCTCTTAAAAGTGCCTATCGAGACTTTTGGCACATCAGGGGAATTGCAAGTATTTTGGTTTTCAGGGGCATTTGGGCTGGTGTGCCCATTGGAAATCAGGAGATGCCAGGGACTGAGAATCTGGCATGTTCTGCAGACTTGGTGGAGCTGCGGTGTCTCTCCTGGGACCATCAAAGGGACTCTTGGTTGCCTTGCATGTGAACCCCTTTCTGCAATGACCCTTGCCTTCCCTGGAAGAGCCTGGAATATGGGGTTTGTACTGCATCATCCTCCCCCAAGTTTCTGACAAAGCAGCTGCAAAGGAGACACACCATGAGTGATCACCGCTTCCCAAGAGACATTTGGAGAAGAAACTCCAAAGTCATTCATCAAAGCATTTTTGGTCGAGAAAAAGGAGGCCTCTTCAACCCATGTCCCACTAACCTTGATTTGGGCAGCTGATTGGGTCAAATTCTTGAACTAAGGCTTCTTATTTGCCAGAAAAAGCACAGCAGGAGATGCCATCCCCTTTGGAGAGCTTCCACAAGGACCAAAAAATAGCTTGTAGAAGGATTTTCTATGGCAGGCTTCTATGAAGAAGTATTAGGCAGGGCCAGCTTCAAACCTGACTGCACTGAATTTCTGAAAATAAAAGATTTTGAAAAGAGGGAGCTCGTAGTGGTGGAACCATGTCTTCAAGGTGGAACTAGTTGCATCCTCTGAAATAACCCTTTCCTTGCTATTATCTGTTCTCAAAGGACCTGATGTGCTGGTTAAAAACATAGACTACAAAAGCAACCTATTTATAAAATCCCCTAGTGGCCACAGAAGGGGCCCAGGCAATGCCTGGTGAGCAACTGCCAAGAAGTCTGGCCTTTGAGAAAGATAAAGCTCTGAACTTTCCATAATGTTCATCTAGTCCAACTTCACATAATCTGGTTGCTCCAGATGATGAATGGGGACCGTTTGAAGAGGCTTATCTCATTCTTCAAACTTCCCAGCAAGTGTTTGTCTCCAGCAGCCCCAGGTAGGCACCCTTTGTGCAAGTCTGCATAATGAATGGAACTGAAGGAAAGACAGAAACAGCAGCAGCAACTGAGAATATGGAATTGTGGAGAATGTTGACACGTGGAGCCACTCCTGTGTTCTTTTGGTTAAAAAAGAGTAATCGCTGGGACTTGAGGTCCTTATGGAAAGCTTGAAGCTATGAGGCGCCCTGCCCAGGATCTTGGGTGTGTCAGTTTGAGTTGGGAAGATTCCCAGCCTTGGAGGTCAGAAGGCCACTTCATTGTTCTATAGAACTTACTGTTCTGATTAGCAAGAGAGATTAAATTTTGATACTTTCTATGCTGTAGAATCAATAAGATGAAGCACTGGGGATACCAGCGCTGGTCACAAAAGTGACTTTCAGCCCTCCGGGTGGGGTTGGGTGGGCAGCCTCTGGTTCTGGAGGAGATGCAGGTTGAGGTGGCCTTCCCATCTGGCCACAGCCCCTTCCTCATTGCTTTTCTTCTCCTCATCAGAGGAGCAGAGGGAGGCCCTTCTCAGCCCAGTTATGGACAAGACTGAGGGGAGGGGCAGATTGCAGAATTCTAGGATCTGGAGACCACCCTGGACATTTTATTTTTAATTTGGAGCCCAAAGTCCCATTATCTCATTGTAGAACGATGGGTGTCACATAAAATAAGTAGAGGTCAACACAGGTGGAGGGACGTGTTAGCCTCACGTTCCACAGGTAAAACTGTGCAGGTGTCTGCTACAAAAATAGCAACAGGTTCTGTAGCATCTCAGTGTTCTGTGGCTTCAGGCTATTTGTCCCTCTGGCTAAAAGGAAGGTCGCTAATGACTTCCCTCATTCTTCAGCCCCCACTGCTGGGATAAGCAACAGCAGCCCACACTGGATCGTGGCCCAAGGCCATCACGGATTGGGCAATGCTTTGAGGGAGGGCTCAGAAAGCCTTGCTGACACCCATCTGGTTGCAGATGTATGGGAAGACTCTGTGCTGCTGGGTGCCATAAATCAGAGTGAATGGGCAGCCCAAGCCATGCCAAGGTTGGCTGCTGTCCTGGGGGTGGGGAATTAAGGGGTGTCCGTAGGAAGGAACATATCGTTCCGAGAGGCATATTCAGGGGATAAACAAGCAGTTTTGTCCAGTACATCAAATGTCAAAAGCAAATACAGACTGGCTAGAGAGGGTTCCTTCTCTTTACGCTGAAAATGTTCCCACGAACAACTACATGGAAGTTTGCATTTCATGGTAACTGCTAGGAGGGATCCTAAGGATAACCATCTAATTTGGGGATGGAAGAGGTTTTTTTTAAAGAAGAAAGAGTTAATTTCCCTCTCCATGCCAGACTTCATTGCATTAATTATCCACAATTAACCAAGCTGTCCTACGTTGATGCAACTGGCTTTTTTTAAAAAACACGCACTTCTAATAAAGGAGAATATCTGTAAGTCAGGGTTGACACGAGGCATCCTTGGTGCTCTCTGAGCTTGCTTGTTTTCTTGCAGACGTTTCATTGCCCAAACTAGGTAGCACCCTCAGTGCTAGGAAGGAGGGCTGTTTGCTACCGGTTTATATCCTGGTGGCTTGCCTGTCTGGGTGGGCGGTGGGGGCTGCCTTAAGGATTCTTTGGTTGGGCTGTTTACTGACGGTTCTATGGCAATTTCTTGATTGGGGCCTTATTTGCAGGCTTGATTTGGCCTTCCAGCCCTTCAGAACTGCTGCACATGTTCTGCCTTCTGCAAAGTTCACCTGGGACAATTGACCCCTTGAAGGTGGGAGAGTTAAACCCAAGGCCCTTGTTGATCCACGAGGGCAACCACATTTGGGGATGATGGCCTATGTGAGAGTGCTATTGTGGTCTCCCATAACCTGGCTAGGCCTAGGTGTGTTGGGAATGTAGAGCTTCCAGCTGGTACCAATCCAGGAACTCTGAAGGGTACTGGGAAGTAGAAGGTTGCTGGGCACAAGGAAGAAAGTAATAATTTTCTGCAAAGGGGTGAATTGGTCATCATGGGTCATCAGAAACTGAGAAAGATGACAAAAATGTGTCAGGACTAAATCCTATTTAAAACACAAAAACCAAAATGTAAATATGCAAATAGCTACTGTTGTAGAAAAATTAGACCATGGGCAATGTAGACTACCAAGAAATTGGTTTATCTCCTCTCCCTAATAGACTTTTAGTGTACTAAGAATAGGTAAGTGTTGAAAGTTAAGTTTCTTTGCAAACTCCTCTTTCTCAGGGCCATGTAAAAAAAAAACAAACTTTAGTCATAGAAATAGGCTGGGTTAGTAAGGATGTTAAGATATTTATTGCCAATTAATTGCCCTCTACAACCTTTCTCAAAGCAAATGAAAACATGGTCTTCAGTGGACAGATTGTCCTAGGAGAGGAACAAGGAGAGACAGGAGGAAAACCATGAATCACGGAGAGGAGTAACCACAGCTTAAGTGTTTCCAGATGGTGGTTAGGGAACCCACAGTGGGTGGGTCAGTGGCCTCTCCATGTCTCCTCCTGGGTCAGTCTCTTTCAGGGACCCAGCAGTTTTGAGGGAGCTGGTTTTGCTGGAGGAAAGGGTTTCCCGGCCACTGTTGAACTGGGAGAGGCTCAGCTTGAATAAATGCTGGAGTTTATCCCGGAACTGCCTGCCCACAAAATAGTACAATAAAGGGTTGATGCAGCTGTTTGCAAAGCCCATGGAGAGCCCAAAGGGCAGCACCGCATCAATCATGGAGGTGAGGTGGCACCTGCTGATTACCTCCATCCAGGAAAGGGCATCCAGGAAGGTCAAGATGTGGAACGGGAGCCAGCAAATCAAGAAGGCCACCACCACGGCAGCCACCAGCTTCAGCACCCGGTCCCTGACCCTCATGCTTTTTGCGAACCCTGGGTCCTTCTTCAGGTGCACCCTGATGCAGATGTAACACCCAAGGATGATGGCCATGGGAAACAAGAAGCCAAGGAGGTTTTTCATTAAGGCTGTTGCAGCTGACCAGGTGGCGTAATTCTCGGAGGGATAGGCCATGATGCAAGCGTTCACGCCCAGCTCATCGATGTATTTGACTTCACGCCAGCAGAAGGTGGGCAGAGAGGTCAAGGTCGCCAGTCCCCAAACCACAAATGTGGCAATGACGGCCCGTCCCAGCGTTCCTTGCTGGCACTGGAAGGGGCGCACAATGGCCTGGTAACGGTTCACACTCAGGCACGTTATGAAGAAGATGCTTGCAAACATGGCCAAGGAAAGGATGGAGCTGGAAAGCTTGCACATCACGGAACCAAAGACCCAGCTGTATCCGTTGGCGTAGCTGGCGGCCCAGAAGGGGAGGGTGGTGAGGGCTACTAGGTCGGCTACCACCAGGTTGAAGATGTAGACATTGGCCACCGTCTTCGGGCTCCTCGGCCGACACAGTGCCGTGATGACCAGGCTGTTGCCCACCAGTCCAAGGATGAAGATGATGCAGTAGACCACAGGGATGAGCACAAACTGGTGGCTGGAGAAGCGGACGAGGCAGGCCTCTCTGGTGGAGACGTTGGTGGGAGATGGTTCCTGGGGAGTCTGTTCCGTGGCGAGGGTGATGGAGAAGTTCCTGAAATGCATCTTGGGGTCAGACAAGATGGGACGGCCTGCAGGACCCTCTGAGACATGGAATCTGTGCTCTGAGCTGGAGGTGGCTGGCTCTTAAAAGAAAGAAGGACAACAGAACGGAAGCATGAAGGCTGTCTCTTCAGCAGGAGAACTTCCATTCTCCCCAAGGTCCCAGGTTTCGAAAGTTCCAGTTTTAGCCCTTTTAAAAGACATTTAGGACGGCCCCTCTGGTGTGAGAGGGATAAATTCTCCCACCTGAATCAGCACAGATATTCCCCATTAGCAAACTAGAGTCAGTTGCTGAAGGTAGGAGAAGGAAAGCAGAAACGAGGATCGAGATAGTCTAAGAATGGAATTGGATGGCAGCAGAACTGTTCTGCTGGAATGCGGGGAATTTACCCTACTCCCCCCCCCCAGGAGAGGAACACTGGAAAGAAACTGGCCTCTGGATGCTATCCAGATATTTCAGCAGTGAAGAGGCTTCCTTAGGAGTACACATCATCGTAAAGCTGTACAATTCTTTAAAGGATGGAAACCTATGAAAGAAAACTTGAAAAGAGCAGAGTTGTCACTTACAAGCTGAGAAACCGAATATGCAGAATCTGTCCTGTGGGGGACCCATCGGGAAATCCTCAGATGTCCACAGCTGCCTCCTTTTCCTGCATCTGAAGAGTGATCACTCACTGCTGGCCACTGCAGGGTCCAGCAAGGCAGCCTGGCCTCTTCCTGGCTCCCCCCAGAGCAGAGCAGAAAGTGAGCGCAGGCCCGGATCCCAAGGAAGGAATTAGCAAAATCCGTGCACCCCCACCCCCACCCTGTCTCCCTGCAGCTCCGGGGGAGGGAATTGACACCTTCTGCCTCTCTCTCTCTCTGCAGCCAGTGAGAGTCAGGGGGGCTGGAAGTGGGCGGGCACTCTAGCCACCCATTCCATACTGTCTGGGTGGGGATACTTTTCTTAACCCCTTTTGCATCCTCATTTCCACTCCTTAAAGCTCTGAGTTCGCCTTTCGCCTGGCCCCTGGTTTGGCTGCTGCCCTGAAGTTGGGCTGAAGGAGAGTCAGCCAAGCTGAGCCAGGCTGGGAATGGGGGGGGGGGGCCTGGAGACTTGCTGGTGTTAGTGGGGAAGGATTCACTTGGATTCACTTGGAGAGCAGAGACCCCGGGACAGCCTCTCTAAGCCCTGTTTTCTAAAGACGCTCAGCAGGGAGGTGGAGCTGGCATTATCCCAAAGCCAGCTGGGGTCCATCTTTTCTGCTGGAATGCGGGAAATTTACCCTACTCCCCCCCCAGGAGGGGAAAACTGGAAAGAAACTGGCCTCCGGAGCCACAAATAGCAGCTGGAAAAAACATCTCAGCTCTTTAAACCAGAGTTTCTCAACCTTGGTAACTCCAAGAACTGTGGATTGCAACTCCTGAAAGTCACCAAGGTTGAGAAACATTGGTTTAGATCAACCTGCTAGGCCTGTTGAGATAACAGCACCTCTTCCACTCTGGGGCTCTCTGATCGCCAATATTGGGAGGGGAAACTTTTGGGAGGAGTTCATGAGCTCAACTGACGTTCTGAGAATAAGTCAACTTTCTTAGAATTCTTCTGGAGGCCATTCTTGAAACAGCACAGGGGACAAGGAGGCTGGCGTTTTGCTCTTCAGGATTGCAGCTCTCCACTTATTCCTCTTTATTTTACAAAACAACCTAAAATGAGGAGGGGATCTGGTAGTAGCCGTAGCTACCAACCTTAGTAGGACATGATGGTAGCTCTCCAGAGGTTCAAGAAGCTCTGATCTTCTCAGGTTCCTGGAGAAGCTGGAGCTGAACTGGGAGTCCTGCAGCCATTTCTTCCCGTTTTCTTTTCATCCATGTGGAAAATAGTGATCAATAGAGAAAAACAGCTTTTGCAGCTGATGAATTGGGTCCCGATGCACAGATTTTACGCCATTCTAAATGTACTAATTATCCAACGCTTGGAGGGTGGAGCTGGCCCCGTTTCCTGCTGTGAACAAAACATGACACAAATTGAGAGTTGTGCTCCCCTCGGCCAAACAATGTGGTTAGTCATGAGGTATGACAGAAGATAATTCATTGCAAAGAGGTTTACAAAAAATCTATGAGATCTTCCAACAGAATCCTTCATCCTCTGGTGGCTTCTCGTTCTGCAGAAATGTCTAAACAAAAACACACTTTCTAGGCTTTGGCAGCAAGATGGACTAAAATGCTGTTCTTTCCTGGAAGTTTCCATGCAGCACCCTTTCAAAATGTTCTCCTGAGATGGTCAAGCTAGGCTCCGCCGCTGAAAACTGTTGATGTGCCAAGTCCTGTTTGTGGGATCCCAGTGGAGAAAGCATTGGCAAGTTTGTGCTCAGAATTTCTAAGAAAGCAGAAGAATGTCCATAGAGATTCTCCATCATCCGGGTCCCGGTTGTCCCAAAGGTGCTTTTCCAAGAGGCAACTGGAGTTTCTTTGTTTTTCCCTTGAAGACATTCTGCTTCTCATCCACAAAACCTCTTCAGTTCAGTCCAAGAAGCTTCTTGGATGAGAAGCGAAACATCTTCAAGGAAAAAAACAGGAAACTCCCGTTGCCTCTTGGAAAAGCAGAAGAACGCGCTCCGGTGGATGGCCCTGAATGGAGGTTGTGAGAACCTTTCAGCTTCTGCAGACTGAGGAAACCAAGAGGTTGAAGATGCAGCTGGGGCTGGAAGCAGACCAGAAATTCACAATAGCACTTTCATTTTTTTTCAGCTTTGGATCAGTGAAATCTGAGCAAACGTTTTTCCAGGAAATATTTTATCTGGGAAATCCTGAGCTAGGATTCGGTCGTGTGATATTTGGACTTCTTCTGCTACACGTGGCATAAACACCTGGGAGGTGTTTTCCCTTCCTCATCCCATTGTTTATCTAAACTACTTTTAGGATGATGCTTTTGATTACGGGAAATGCCCCGAATGACTGCACTTACCTTTGCATTTTGCAATCAAGCCTTATTACTCTCATGCCTGTCATTATTGGGAGTGGTCCTGGAGACGCAGAGCCTGCAGCACTTCTAGCCAAGAAGAAAGACAATCCCAGGCCGACTTCTTTCCCCGAGACTGTTTGTGTCACCTCAAAGCTTTGAATAACGTAACATCTTTCTTTTCAAATCAGCAATTGTGCTTGGGGAAAAAAGTTCCCACACAGATATAGGAGTCAATAAATCCCACCCCAAACCAGACGGGCTGCGGCCCAGACCTTCTGCCAAAGCCGATTCAGAATGTGGGCTAAATTAAGCTGGCTTTTCTTGGCCAGGCGGGTCCATGCCTGCTTTGCAAAAGAGAGACCCCTTTGCCCTTGGCACAGAGAGTGGAGTGGGAGGCTGCCACGGGGGAAGGGAAGACAGGAAGCAGCAGAGAGCTGAGTGAAGAGGGTTCAGGGATGGATGGAGCTTGACACAGGCCAGATGGGGCTCTCTTGCCAATCTCACATTTCGCGCGCGGCGGCCATCCAGCTGAGATTTGGGGCAGTACAAAAACACTTTTAACTTTCTAAATCCAATTCCAGAGTTGGCTCATCTATTTGGAAAGTTTAGGGCGCCCCCTAATGGCTGAAAGCAACTCCAACCGGGTCATATTCATTTTTCTTGCATTAACTTCCATGGTTAAATTCTTTTACTCACGTATAATTAACTCCCTTCTGCAATTTTGGGCTTTACTGCTGGGGGGCTTTTTTATGTTCTTTACCCCTCCCACCCAACAGATAGGCTTCTGGTTTAGCTGTTGGGCGAATCTAGGCATTGTGTGAGTGAAATACACAAGGCAAAACATGTTGTCACAAGCCTATCCCCTAGTTATTTAACTAATAAACTATCATTATGCAAACTAGCTTTGAATGTGGACAGAGGCGGACGTGAAGAGGTGGTGAGTTTATTCCCATTCCATTTGTATCAGGGGTGTCCAACCTTGGTAAGGCTGGCTGGGAATTCTGGCAATTGGAGTCTCAGGTCTTAAAGTTACTGAAGTTGGACACTCCCGATTTATATTTTTTTTAATGACTAAAAGATTTCAACCCCTCAAATGACTGACAGGAACAGCTGGGTCTGGCCCATGGAAGAAGCAGGAGGATTTAATGGAGAGACATCCAAGACCTCCATGGTCAAAGCCAGGATTCCAAGCCAGAGCTGAATTTCAAAGAGGTTTTGCGAAAGAAATCCAAATGACAGGTTTATGAACCATTTTTATTTCATCATTAGCTGCTTTGTCACCATAATCCAAGGCTGTGAATATATAACAAGATGATCTCAGGGGTAGCTAACAGCTTGCTAAAGCCAGAATATACTTGCTCCTATGGATAAAAGTCTTTTCTTTGGTGATAACATTTTATTTATAAAAATAGTTTCTTTAATCTTGGCACATTCTGCTCTTCAAGTTACTAGTCCCTGCCTCTTGCAGAATGGGCCTGGTCTCACCTGTGGCACCCTTCTCACACAGTTTGTAACAAACAGCTCATGTCAACTTAAATATCTTATTTTTTTTTTCTTTTTTAAAAAATGGTTTACATGCAGTTTTTGGAAAAACAAAACTTAAAAAAATATGTCCAGGCAAAATATAAAACAAACCAAGGCAACACATAAAAATTGCATCAATTCGGTTCTCTGGGTTCAGTTAAGCTGAGGCAAGGCGGTAACCTTTGAAGATGGTACCTTGCATAAAAATGAGTAATGTGAAAATAAAAAACTCGCACAAAGGAAAACCTGTTGTGCTTTTGTCGGAAAAGGGAAGCAACAACACTGTTGTGCTGTAAAGGCAAATAAGAGCAGCACCGTGGCTTCAGAAGGCTGCAGGAAGACTGAGCTTGGCAAGTACCCTTTCACCGGCCGTTCGAACTGCACCTAACTTGAACCTGACCGGGTGCAGAGCAGCCCCTGTGCCACTGCTCCACAGGAACACCACAAGGGGCAGCTGGGCACCAAATGCCGCTTCCCAAAAGGGGAAACTCACACTGAAATCAGAACCAAACCAAGTTTCTAGTCCTTTGGGAGGAGGACTGAAAGTGAGAGACAGTTGGGGTGTTGCCTAAAACTTCCAGTGGCACGGCTCCCTCTCTGTGACCAAATCGTGAAGAACGGAGTGTGCCAAATTAGCTTCCAACGGCAGGATAAGTTATTTAAAATAAGAGCCTTTATGCCATCTTGCCTATCTTGTATGATTTCTACTAAGTGGTTTTTGTTTTGTTTCCTTTTAAGGTGTGGCTTAAAAATGTTGCTGCATTTGCACCCATGACTGAACAGCAGGTTAGATTAAAAAAAAAAAAAACTCAAGCTCATCTCAAACCCTTGAACCTCTAGAAACTTCAATTTTTTTTAAAAGGAAACTTTCTTTCCTTTCCTTTATCCTTTCAAGACAGGAGAGCCAGACGGAGCCTTAAGGCCAATCCCCTGACTGGCAACTCTCCCAAAAACTGCCCCTCCGGACGAGGAAAGGAAGCTTCGGTCGGTGTGCCGGCCACCGGCATGAGTGCGGATTGTTGTTCCCTTGGGCACTTGAGGAGATGCAACCTTGAAATTCCTGGGGGAGGGAAGAAGGGAGGGAGGGAGGGAGGGAGGGGGCTGGACTGATCCCCATCCCCTCTCCGAGGCCTCTCCGGGTCTGGGTTGCCAAGCCCAACAGAGAGTCCTTCAGCCAAAGAGAGTCCACCTTTCTGGAAGCGGAGCAGAGCACTTCTGCGCTGGGGGTGGGGAGGAGGCCAGGCTGGGGGTCTTTGCTCTTTAAACACGCTTTAGCCCTCGGCCCATCAGGCAGGCAAACACGGTCATCACCATCTTGGGCTTCACCTCCACCACATCCTCTGGCAGGGCATAGACGCGGGCGCCGATCCTCCTGGCCATGGAGACAGCGTACCTGGAGAGGAAAGAGGGGCACGATCAGATCTGGCAAGGTCCGATCTACAAGAGATTTGCACACACCCCACAGAGCTGGACCTGAACCCTGAGCCCATCGAACTCCCATGGGGATAAATGGAGCAGGATGGATTAACCTCCCCCAGAGCCCTGGCGAGGGACATCCCGGGCGAGGGGGTCCAACTGGCTTCCCTTGAATCGAGAACAGGTGAGCCCAGTTCTTATGGCTTGCAAGCTACAACTAGCGATGGCTCAAGTCTCGGGCATGGCCACTGACAATGGCTTCCTCCACAACCTGGGATAAACCTGCTGTCTGAACCAGCCGTGCACCAGAGGGAGGCTGAAAGGGCAACCAAGTCCGGCGTCTCACTTGGCATTGCTGTGCTTGTCTTCCTCGGAGAGGTCGCCTGTCTTCACCAGGTCGTAATTTATGCAGCCAGGCTGAATAGCATCAATTAAATCCACCACGGCCAGGCTGCTGCTGATACTTTTGTCCTGGAGAGAAAGACGAGGGTCACATCAATGAAAAGGGTGGACGCATCAGATGGACACCACCCTCTTTAAAGGGGCTGTGAGAACACGGCGGAACCCAGTCATTGGAGAAGAACTGGTCAATTGGTGACGCCTCTGGCCCGCTTGGAGCAGTGCTCAGATTTGTGGTGTTAAGAACTATGGATATATAAGGTTTGTGCAAAGTACAATCAACATCTTTTTCTGCCAGCAAAGATACAGAACTTTTTCTGGTGGCGTCCAGGATAAATATTTTCAATAATGCCTGATTGCTTTGCTTTCTGGAAACAAGATAGCTATCCAAAGATGGCCAGGAAGACTATTACGGTAAAGGAGCAAAAACCTCTTAATTATTATTTTATTGCAAAAGTCCTTTGTTTTCAGATGCTCAATAAACTTTTAAAAATTCAGCTGCTGGAATTGGGAGGACACTTTTGTAGGGTCTGCTCTAAGTAGCAACGTCTATTCATTTTCCCAATTCATCCACTCCACTTGTACTCCTGGTCACAAGTTGGCTTCTTTGTGGCAACGAGATCCAAAGAAACAATATTACCCACCTTAAAGCTCTGGATAGAACTTGATTTCCCAGCGTCTTTCAAGGTCGTGTTCACCCAATTTACAATAATGTCATCATTTGCTTTCTGACCATCTACGAGGTTCTCCAGAACATTCAGAGTGTATCTGGGCAAAGGAGACACAGGAAAGTTACTCAGCACACAAAAACTGGGGAAAGTCTCTAAGGGACCTGCTAGGTGTGTTTGAACCCCTAGAAATGTAGGTTTTTCGTGGAGAATATGAGCCTCCAATGACTTGGACTAAGAGGCATGGGTGCAAGGATACCTTCTCATCAGCTGCCAGATTACAGCCAGGGTGAGGGTCGAGTTCCCGTCGTTGAGATCCTGCCCGCCAATGCCGACCAATGAAAACTTGGCTCGATTCTTTCCTAGATCGACTGCATAGTTGCAGTTTTCCAGCTGTTTGGTGAGACAGAAGGAAATTGGGGGAATGAGGGAGAGAGAGAGAGAGGGAGGGAGATCACAGCTGCCTTATACTTTGGTGGTTTTCTTTTCATCCCTCCTTGCTAGAAGACCTTGGAGTTTGAAATGCCCCCAAGCTGGTCTTTTCTACAAGCAAAGCAAGGGCTCTGCCCCTGAGGAGAGACTCTCATTTCGCAGAGAGGAATACACTCTTTGGCCCAATCCCTAATGGGTGAGGGGTGGGCATCAGGTAGAAGGAAGGCTATCTGCTTTGGGGCAGCACTCAGAACTCCTTTAACAACTTGGGCTAAAGTAACAGGATTTCCCCGAACTGAACTGAAAATGGCTAGTTTAGAAACAACCAGGCTCCAGCACCTTCTTCATGTTTGCCCCAAGTTTTGGGTATGGAGGTCTGTTGACTTTGTTCCAGTCGACAGGAACTTTGATCTTCTCATAGAGCTGTAAAATCACCAGGGCGTCTTGCAGGTCACTGAAAGAGAAAACAGAAATCTGCTCACTGAGAAGTTTAGTCTTCAAAAAATACCTGATGGATGGGATCCTGGTCATGCCTCTTTCGGGCCTCCTGAAAGAAAGCCAGACGTACGCGTAGAGATGATTGACATGAGGGTTTACGCCAAGAGAATTCATCCAGTTGCGGAACGTCCGTTCTTCACGGGTTTCACCTAAGATACAAAGAGTCGCTATTGAAGGAATCTACATTTGCTTCTCGACAGACAGACAGACGAAATTATGGACACCAAACAAATGTTCTAAAAATGCTAAACCAAGAAAGAAGGAGAAGAAATCTTCAGGACACAAAGATGCAAAGAGCAATCAAAAGACAGCATCCTTCCTTCCTTCCTTCCTTCCTTCCTTCCTTCCTTCCTTCCTTCCTTCTCTTTCTCTCTCAGCCACCCTTCCATTAATCACACAGAAAGAAAAACTTCTCACCTTCCAGCAGCGTCCAGTCAATGTCTTGGTTTTCAGGCTTGGTGAGGGCTGGGTACTTGTTGAACAAGTTGGCCACGAAAGCCAAATTCAGCTTTGGGTTGCCACTCACAACATCTGCTGGGGTAACAAACTGCCGACAGCCCAGCCTATCCGCTTGCTGGAGCATGCACTCGGCCCTCTTGAGGTCATCTTTCTCCTACAGGGAAGGAATGGCACAGAGGCTACTTTCTAATGTTGGATTAGATGAAGCTGCCACCTTGGGAGGAAGACTTTTCAAAGGTGGGTTCTGAGATCCGGAAGGCGGGGGGGTGTCCACAGCAATCTGAAGATGGCAGTCGTGATCAGGTTCTGAGGCTGCCATCTCGTTTCTTTGGATGTTCCCCCCCCCCCCGGGATGCTCTTCACAGGAGGAGCTCCCAGTGAAGAGAACCATCATGGACTAGCGTGGCTCTCCTTCTACGAGGTCTTCAAATAAACAATGCAATGCCGTCTGAGAGTGAAAATCAGCCAGAGGGTCCCTGGTGAAGCGTTCCTAAGCGCTGCTTGGTAGAGTCAATGCTTGAAACCAGAAGACAATGAGAGAACTTGGAAAGCATCCTCTGATAACCACAAATGTTGGCCATCGTTGAGTGGGAAATACAGCTTCTGTTCAGGATTAGTAGAATATTGGTTTCAAGGTTCCCAGCAGGCCACCAAGACCCCTACTCACATTGAAGCCTGACATGTTGATGTTGATCTCTGGCTCTCCTTCCTTCTGTCCTTTGGGGGAAATCTGGTTGAGGAGATGGAAGTAGGCTCTGGAGTCCTGGAGGAGGCAGAATCAGACCAAGGGGATTAGAGCGGGGTCTCTCAACTCCAGCAATTCTGAGACGGGCAGACTTCAGCCCCCAGGATTCCCCAGCCAGCCTGGGATTCAGAAAGGCTGCATTAGAAGCAGCTGAGTTTTTTCAGCCCAATGTTACGAATCCCGTGCAATGTAATACGTTAATCAGAAGTAGGAACGGTTCCTGTACCTTAACAGAGTTATGGAAGTCGGAAAGCTTGTAAAATCAAAATAAAAAAAGCCAAAGGGGAGAGAGAGAGAGAGTCCAGATAGCACAGGAGAGAAGAGAATTAAGAAGGTTAGATGGACAATCATTTCAACTGAGAGAAGGCTAAGGATGCCGGCCCCTCCATCCAGAGCAAACTCCCTAGAGGAGCATTCAACTCCTGGCTCCTTTCCCCAAATGAAAGACTTGCCTGGACAAACTTCCACCGAGACCGCCAATACCTTTATCTCGGAGCTGAAGTTGTTGATCTTGTGCCACCCGGCGTTCTCCAGGTGGTAGTTGGCCCATCGCAGGAGAAGCTCTTCTGGGGACAACTTCATCAGGTCCTCCAAAGTCTCTCCATCACACAACAAGGCAGCCAGAGCTGAGAAGGGGAGAGAGGGAAGTCTCAGGCCTCCAGTTCACGGTTCACCCTCCCCAGTGAACATACTTCATTGGCCTCTTCAGTAGATGTAAACCCTCACGTGCCCCAGGAGGTCACAGAGGCTTCCGTGATGAGGTCCCTTCCTTGGATCCCTACAACTGCAACCCTGGCGGAGGGCAGGGCCGAGAGGACAACTGGCCCAAAGTCACCCCGTGGGTCTCTCTGGTCCCAGCCCAATTCTCTGACCAAGGAAGATGCTGCCTCTCAAAACTATCCGGAGGAGCCAATTAAACACTAAATGGTTTATTAGAATTCTTTAAAAATTGCCTCTGCTAAATCCTAGTCCTTAGATTTGATCTCTAACTTTATTTACAAGGGAAGCAAATTAATGACTTTGAAGCTTTAAGTTCTTGGCAGATATTTTTCTTTATTATTATTATGCTGGATTATGAAACCAAAATAGGGTCAAATAAAGGTTTTAATTTATGAGAAGCAGTCTATTAGATGTGGCCAAGAGAGCTTGGCCTTTGGAAAACAAAATTTGTAATCCTATTCTTACCTAGAAAGAAATGAGATGAACTAACGCGTTTAGGAAATACTTTGGCTTAACTGAGGGTTACATATCTATTTAGACCAGTGCTTTTCAATTTTGGCAACTTTATATGGACTTCAGCTCCCAGAATTCCTCATGCTGGCTAGGGAATGCTGGGGGTTGAAGTCCACACCTCTTAAAATCGCCAAGTTTGAAAAATACCAGTGTGGGCATTCTGCTGGCATGCCCCATTCCTTGCACAGTTCAGCCCAGCTCTCTTACCACGCCATTACATGTTTATCCCCAGTCAAAGGCTAGTCCAACTGCGCTCCCACCCATTCAGGGCCCTCTGCAACCAGCCGTGGAAGTGGGCACCGTTACCCAGCCCCTGGCATGAACAACCGCCCAGCAGAGGCCCAGGTGGACTTCCCTCACCTTCATTTTTGCTGAGTTCAATATCTGCAAACAAGCCAATCTTGATAATCTGCCAGAGCAGGCCAAGAACCAGATGGGGCTTCCCTTCCCTTAAATCCTCTGCCCCAATGTTGACCACGTGGCACCCAATGGCGGAAGCAGAATTCAAAGCCAAGTTCAGGTTTTCCTGCAAATGAAGAAGTCTTTTAATAGGAAGTCATCTGCAGTCCTCCGGCTATGCGGGTCACAATGACGCCTACAGAGGCCCTGAATTTTCCCTAACCCCCCATCCCCCACCCCCCACCCCAATGAAAGGCATCAAACCAGTGCTTCTCCGAATCAAAATATTTAAAATTCTCCGCCTTGCAAACCTTGAACGGAGAGATAGCAAGTTGAAAACAAGAGAGAAACGGGTAGCTTTCTCACTGCCAGAGCAAGATAAGGCTTGAGATGCTGGTAACTGAACAAGAAAGGAAGAGAGGAGGGAAAAGAAAAAAGATGGAAGAGGAAAGGAAAAAGGGAGGAGGAAAGAGAAAGAGGGAAAGAAAGAGGGGGAGAGACAAGGCAGAAGGAGAGGAGAGAAGGGGATAATTGAAAAGCTCCTGGTAGTTTCTCCACTTGAATAGATGCCAAATGCAGCCTTGGTTCATCTTCCTCTTTGAATGCAATTAATATTTACTGAGCAGCATCTCTTTTGTTGGGAAAGGTTCTGCTTTCAATGTCCAACAAAGAGACAGCACAAAAGCCTCTTTTAATAATTTAAAGCAAACAAAACCATCTCCTCTCTTAGCCGCCCCCTTAGATAATGAACAAATCCAGCATTATTTAAGCTGTGGGGAGAGAAGACCTGGGAAACAATGGACCCCCACCTGAATTATGAATGGGGTAAGCTTCTTCTTGTTGATGGCTCGTTCATCAATGGTGTCAGGAACAGAGAGGTTGACCATTTTACTACGAGGAAGCAAGAAGGAAAATGAACATCCACCCGGGAACCCCTGGAGTTAGAGACAATTCTGCACGGGGGCTTCTCCTAGCCTTCCCGCCAAGGGCATCATCCCAGAGCAGAGGACTCACCACAAGACGATCCCGTCCCCAACGGCTTTGAAGAGATCGTCCGTGTTTGGATTCATGGGGATGACATGCTTGCAGTCCAGGTCGTTTTCCAAAGCTTTGTTGATCCAGTTCACAAAGGCGTATTTCTCTTCCTCTAAAGTGGAAAAAAGCTCTGAGATTAACACTCAAGTGACACCACTGGGGAAACCCACCAACACTGCAGCTCAAAGCCCCCCAGTGGCACCTGGGAGGGTAGCGTGGGAGGGGGTACAACAGTTTGCCAAGGCAAGAGAATAGAGAGGAGACTCTGTGTCAGTTCTCCCCCTGAAGTCAAAGACTTGGGGTTTGCACTGCAATACCGTGTCCTCCATCTCATCCTTCTTGCCCCTTGGGGGCCCCTGGATCAACACTGCATGAACTTCAGATAATCCTCAACTTATGAGCACAATTCAAACCGAAATGTTTTTTGACCAGAAACCATTACAATTTTGAACCGTAGTTCAACAAATGTTCATAAAGTGAGGACTACTCGCATTAGAAAAATCCCGAGACAGACTTTCTCCCTGCTTTAGATCACCCAAGGATCAGAACTACAGTCCTGATGGATATCAGGATATTGGGTCTATCAAGGAAGGTGGAGAACAAAACAAATAGACTTAACCATGGGCACCTTGGCCACTAAAGGCATCGGTGGGGTGGGGTCTACAGAAGAGGTTTGGGCAGCTGTGAGAACTTCAGGGCAGATGTTGGAAGGGCAGGAAAGGGCCCACCTAGTCGCAGGCCTGGCAGGGCCAGGAGGGGAGATGAAGCCCCCAGGCAGTACCTGAGTACGAGTGTTGGGTGCCTTCGCTGGACAGCTCGGAGGTGCCCCCGATGGCGCAGATGCCTTCCTTCCGATTGATGGCCTTGCGGAAGGTCTTGGCAACGTCACTGCTTTTCACTTCTTGGAAGAGCTGCAAGCAGAAATGCAACTGTTAATTCATGGCCTTGAGGGACTTGTGGAAGTCTCTGAAGATGGACGGGATAAACCCCAAAAAGGTTTTGGTCTTGCTCCGCAGTGGCCAAAGTCTACCTAGCCAGGATAACCCTGGGATGCAACCCAGAATAAGTTCTGGGAGAGGAGGACCTGGGCAGCAGGAGAGTCCCACACCAATCCTGAAGAGTCTTCTGAGAGACTAGGGGTGCCAGGATAGCATCTTTCAACATCTGAAAGGCTGCCACATAGAAGAAGGGGTCAACCTATTCTCTAAAGGGCAGGACTAGAAGTAATAGATGGACACTAATCAAGGAGACAACTAATCTAGAGGTGAGGAAAAATTTCCTGACAGTGGAATGACTTGCCCCTAGAAGTTGTGGGGGCTCCTTCACTAGAGACTTTAAAGATTGGACAGCTGTATGTTCGGGATGCAGCAAGGTCTACTTTGGGCAGGCTCTTGGACCAGAAGACATCCACAGTCCCTTCCAACTCTGTTATTCTGTTATTCTTTTGGGTCTTTGGAGCAGCTGAGAAAATGGAACCTCTGGGAAGGTCCTGCATTAACCCACCATAACTTTATTCTGAGGAGCCCCCCCCCCAATTTTCTGGCTCAATTCTCTCTGCTCTGCTGCTTTCAACGTTGTTTTATCACTTTACACATTTTAGCTCTGCCCAGAAAACGGCTGCGATGGGTGGTAGAATAACGGGGTGAATAAATGCATGGATGGAGGACTGAAGGAAGGAGAGCTGGGTGGTTTCACAGGAAAAGCCGCAGTCCAGAGTTTGGGGGATCAGACGAAGATGGTTCCAGCCTTACGTAAACAAATTCTTCGAAGCTGATCTTTCCGTCTTTGTTCTTGTCTCCGTCGATCATGAGTTTCTGAATGATCTCTCGGACTTTGTATCCCGGGAGGGGAAGGTTGGCTTCCTTGAAGAGTTCGTGCAGCTCATAGTCACAGATGAATCCGTTGCTGTTGAGATCTTGCAGGTGGAAGACAGAGACAGGTGGAAAATCAGAGCAGGGACAAGGCAGGAGTCTGACCTCCAGCCCCCTCACTCCTTACTCCCCTACTGCAGGGCTCTCCAGCCTAGGCAACCTTTTAAGACTCATGAACTTCAACTTCCAGGAGTCAAAGTCCACAAGTCTTAAAGGTGTCATGGTCGGAGACCCCTGCTCCACTGCAAGGCCAACATCCAAAGTCATTGGGGGCCAGTTGCCATCCCCTGCTCCACTCTGTCTCTTAAAAGCTGCTGGGGCTGAAAAACTCGGTGCTAAAGGCTCTAGCTTTTCCTACAGAGAATCCGAATTGAGCCTCCCAAACAGGGAGCATTACGACTTCTTTATCCAAGTTGGAAGCTAAATATCCAAGTTGGAAGCAACTGGTGAAAAGCAAGTGAAGGATGAGAAAATATTAATGACTGCAAACAAACGGGGGTTCTGGGAAACGGGTCCAAGCTAAAGGCATCAGGCCTGGTGCTGGCAAGAAAAGAACCACTTACCAACTTTGGAAAAAGCCTCCCTGAGTTCCTCTAGCTCATCTTTGGATATCTGTGTGACGTTGGCCATTTTTGTGCATTAACACTACACCTAAAAAAGGAGCAGGAGGGAGGGGAGAGAGAGAGAGACAGAAAATCAATAAATTAGGAACACAAGTCCATATCCCTTAAGATTCATTCATTCATCTACTGAAGCAACACAAGGGACTGATTCATTTTGCCAGGCTTGTGTTATTAGTTGGCTAAAGAGTTGCACCTCCCATCTGGCATGGGGAAATTATTGTGTTTTGAGGAAGGCTTCTATGTTACAGTCAACCCCAAAGATGGAGAGGCACAGCCCACAAAACCTTTAAAAAAAACCAAAGAAGGCACTACCAGACACCTGATTTTTTAACAGAGTAAATCCTGAAATTCTTCAGTGCTTTTTCTGGGATTTGATAACCACGGGGTCACCTTGTTTTTAAAATCCGCAAACTGCTCTGAAAGACTCTCTCCTTCAGCTGCTTCGCACTGGCTGAAAAGATCCGCTCCTAATTCCATCCCCTTTTCAAACTGGTTTATGCCTCCTGGTTTTCTGTCACCAAGGGACATGCAGGTCTTAAGCAAATAAACAAATCCTGTAAATCATGTTCCCAAAGTCCTAGCAAACACTCCGTTGTGTGTACCTGGGTTTACTCTCCCCTTTCTCTCCACCCTCCCAGAAAGAGCTCCTGAGCACAGATGCAACCCTGCTGGGGGTGGGGCTGGGTTGGATTGAGAGCCGAAACTGACCCAAGGCCAGACTAGGGTTTCGGGGGTTTTAGCAGGGAGGTCTCCGAGAGGCTTTCCTCCTCCTTTGGGATCAATAACTATCCAGGATTAAAGCCAGCCACCCCCTTGGCAAAACAAACACCTCCTCCTGGGTCCAGGCCCAGCACACCTGGCTAAGCCACCTGGAGAAAAACTGGAGAAAACTCACAAACAGCAGGATGAAAACTCAAACGTGGGGCAGAAGGTGTGTCTGTGGCCCTCTCTGGCCAGGGAAAAGGTGTTCAGAAAAACAGCCTTGGCCAACAAGAGCCATCACCTGGGGGAAACTGCTGCCTGCCAGCAGGTTTGGTGGGAAGAGGCCCAGGGAACAGCCCCTCCCAGATGTTTTCCAGCTGCGAACCATCCAGTGCAATGAAAACGCCTGCAGCCCAGAGACTCCTTGGCTCCACCAGTAGGCGGGTCTTCTCATTGGGGGGAACTACCTGAGGTTCCCTCCCTTTCTTGGGCAGACAGGCTGATTCACCTCTGATCTGGAGCAATTCTGTTTTTCCGAGGGGCGGGGGATTTTCCTGTCCTAAGGCACATTTTCCTCTAGGTAAACAAGCAGGGGGGTGGGTGAGAGTTGAACCATCTCCTACTTTCCTGCAGCAGCTGTCTGGAAGCCTGAAGGGATGAGCCGTTTCCTTGTTTGCTAAATTCTCTCTATGCCAAAGATGCCGGTCGCCATTGCACAACGCTCCACGGCTCACGGGCAGCTGTGGAACTATCCCATTTTAAAAGGCGTGGACTGTCAGGCTGGCCCAGACTCAGTTTCGGAAAAAGGAATAGAATTTGCCACTTACAAAAATGCAGGCCATCAGACGGATCTGTGTTTTGCTGACGAGACGGTTATGTCTTTAAGCAGAGGAGGCCTTCCTTCTCTAATTAGTTACGTGTTGCTTTTACTAGTAGGAGTAAACCCCGAGGTCAGGGAACGCCCAGGCGGGAGGACAATCTGGAGGAAGTCGCCAGCCGCCATGACATCAGCCTGACTCAGGCTGAGCCCACGAAGAGCCACAGCAGAAGCTGCAGGAGACCCAGGACAGGGTCAACAGACAGCGCTCCATTTTCACCTCCGGAAGGGCTGAGGTTTTCCCATCTGGGCTCTGGGATTTTGTACTCCAAGTAGGAGCATCGCCAGGAGAGGGCAGAGATTGTCCATCCTTGGCCTCTTCTCTGCTTTGGGAAGTTTTACCCACTTGGGGTTTGGAAAACTTCTTGGGGGAGCTGCGGGTCTTTTATTGTAGGTCACATAGCAGCGTTAACATTTGAGGGCTCCTGAATAAGGTCAGCTTGAAGGGCCCTGACAGGTCTCTCGTGAAGAAAGTCATTCTTCTGTACTGGAAAGGAGCTGGCATGCATCTGCCTTTTGCAGAAATCGAAGAAAAAGTGAACGCTGAGATCACATGGAAGTGAAGGAGGACCTTGGCCCCTTGAAGATGGGTGGACTTCAACTCTCAGAATTCCCTAGCTGGCATTGTGGCCAAGGATGGAAAACAATCAGTCAATCAGAACAGAACTGGAAGGGACCTTGGAGATCTTCTAGTCCAGCAGGAGACCCTGTGCCACTCCAGACAAGTGGCTGTCCAATCTCTTCTTAAAGGCCTCCAGTGATGGCTCACACACAACTTCTGAAGGCAAGCCATTCCGCTGGTTGATTGTCCTCACTGTTAGGAAGTTTCTTCTTAGTTCCAGGTTGCTTCTCTCCTTGATTAGTTTCCATCTGTTGCTTCTTGTCCTGCCTTCTGGTGCTTTGGAGAAGAGGTTGATCCCCCCCCCCTCTTCTTTGATCAAACCTTGATCTAGTTCAACTCCCTGTTCAGGGAAGAAATTAATAATTGCAGCACCCAGACATACGGCCACCCCTATCTAAGTGTTGGTTCCCAGGTTGATAAAGATCCAAGCTACAGTTATGGCAACCAACTGCAAACGTCCCCACTATCAGCGAAGGGAGACGCCTCCCCTCTGGGGCACTACAAGACTGTGAGAAAAAGCCTCAGAGAGGCTCCACCCGAACATGCGCGAGACAGATCATATATCGGTGCTCCACTGAATACAGTTTGCACACAACGCCTGCCTTTTCCATACGTCTTGCTAAGGAAATTCACATTCATTTTTCTCCAGCTGCATCTTTTCCAAATGAATTCTCACAGACCGGAACAGCCACAGTGCAGGGATGAACTAAAATATTTTGAACTAGTTGCAGAAGGGAGACTTCGCTCTAAATGAAGCATAATCAGAGTTTCCCCATGCTTTTTGGTCCTGGTGAGTGCCAGTCCTTGCATATTTTACATGTGCAACAGGCAAAATGGGCACGGAGGAGGTGGGAAATGCAGACATGTGTTGCCAAACACAAAAAAATTCTAGAAATGATGTGCCTTCACCTCGGTTAATGCTCCTAACTTCTCCTCGGAAATTTGAGAAAAACAGAGGGAGGGAGCTGCACTAGCGCTTTCTAAGATCAGCTCCAATGAGGGAGGGGTGACCCCAGTCCCTCCCCAATTCCAGGCTGGGAAGGAAACACCTGCTGCTCTTATCACACCAGGCAGGGAGACCCATCCTTGTGTTGGGGGGGGGGGTCTTACTCCCAACCTACTTTAGCACAAAGCTCTCAGCACCTGGAAATGAAACATAGATTTGCTTTCTGCACGGAAGGTCCTTTGCTAGGAAACTGCAAACAGTTCTAAAAAAAAAAAAAGTTTTGCAGAGGCATCTAAGAAAGAAGTTATGGTTTATTTTATGGGACCCTACATGCCCTGCAGCTCCCCCCCCCCCAGGGAGAAGTTAGCTCCTCTTCCAAATAATCAATCCTTGAATACGAAATAACCAAATCTTTGGGGAGGTTAATCTCTTCTATGTTCCAAGGGTGTAGCCACTGCCCAGTCCTGGAGTGCCGTTACCCTTTTCACATTCCTGCCTGGAGAAGCAGCTGGATGTCCTTTAGAGCTCCCTTCTTTGGGGCTTCTTCAGGAACATATTTCATGTATTTATTTTGCCTCCCCCAAAGGAGAAAAGTGCTCTTGGCAAACATCCCCCACCCCCATCCCAGCGAGGTCATTCAGCTGCCCAGAAGTCAGGCAGAAGCAGCCCCATCATGAGATGGCCCAAATGGTGCTGATGATAAAAGCACATTCCGAGGGGGGGGGGGCAGGACGGTGGTGGCCAATATGCTGGCAAAGACATTCCTGGGAAGAACAGGAAAGCATCTCCCAGCCGCTCAGCCGTCTTTGCACAAGGCTGGCTGCATCTCCCACCTCTGTCTTGAGTGAGCCAAAGGGGTGACTGTGGCCAGCCTGGCCAGCCTCTCCCTCCCCTTGCCTTGCTCCCAGACCTCAGGATGTTTGTTCCTGCTGGGCATCAGGTTACCAGCTTTAGAAGGAGAGGCACCAGAAGGCCTTTCTTTCCATTTGGCATTACATCACGACCCACACTGAATTCCTGCTGAAAACAATGACACACCTCTGTCCACCAGACACAGATTGCCCGCCATGCCAGTTAGGCAAGCAAGGCGCCTCTGCCATCTCCAGGTCAGGATTCCCGGAGCTCCCTGGGACCTTTCAAAGTTCAGGCCTCTCTGGATCTCTTTGATCCCTCAGGATTTCCAGCAGAGCAGCCTCCCAGCAGCTGCTGCAGCCTTTGCTCCTTCGACTGGGTGCCTCACAAGAAAAGCACCGGCCAGATGTTTTTCCTTACCCCCATATGATGACTTGCACTTCCATCTTAGACCTTCTCCAGATGTGCTACATGGCCGTTCCCATCAACTCCGCCCCAGTGCAGTGAGCAAATGGGCCACCTTCCCAAGGCTTTCAATGGGAAGCAAATCAGAACTGGCGTTCTTGGCCCAGTGAACCCCAAAGATCCCCCCAAACCGAGCAAACTCTGCTGAACGCAGAGACTAAACAAAAATCCAAAAGGCCCTCTCTTTTTTTCCCATTCAGCGTTCATTTCCTCCATCCTACCACCAGGCAGACTGGCAGGAAACCCAAGGCGGAGAGGAAGGCGAAGGGAGGCAGAAGAAAAGTTAAGCGCATAGAAGAGAGGAAGGTTGACAAGCTGAATCTCCCACACCCCTTCTTCCCCCCCCCCCCCCAAACACACTCTGCAGCAGAGTTGAGCCAGGCTTGGACCCGGCAGCACGAAGCCCCCTTACCTCGCCCGCTGGGACCCCCGAGGGAGCAGCTCCTCTCAGCCCAGCCCAGGCACAGGATGGGGCCTCCTCCCACGCCCCAAACGCACATTAAATCTGGGAGCCCAGCATTCTTCCCAGGCAAGCAAGTCAAAACATTTCCTGCCAGCACAGGAGGGTGTGCAGAGAGGAGGCCCCGCTTGCTCTCGGCCCTCTTGGGCTGGAATCGTGCATTACACAGCAAAACTTGAACACTTGCGCACGCACACACAAACACACACACAACTACTGCCCGCCCTCCTCTCCTTCTGCAGACAAATCATAGAGCAGGATCAGCCTTCACAAAAGTGCTGCTGCTGCTGCTGCTGCTGCTGAATGCACCAGATATTGACAGCAGCAAAGAGAAGGCAGAGGGGGCTGCTTGGAAACCACAGGCGTCTCCCCACCCCACCCGTCCCCAGGATCACTTGTGTGCATCTTTTCCACCCAGCAGCATTTCTTCTTCTGCCCAGACAGGAGTGGGAGTCCCGGCCCTGCCAACCCAATAGGTGTGGATGGATGATCCCCCCCCAAGATTTCTCAAGAGACTTTGAGAGCCCCGATAGCTCCACGCTTAGGGCTTCCATCAGCCAGAGAAGTGAGTCCCCTTCGCCCAGGCCTTCCCCAGAACTCAACTGCTGCTTCTCCCAAGAGTGGAGACTCTTGCCAAGGTGCGTGTAAGACCAGGGCTGGGGGCCAAGCAATTCACGCATCACAGCCCAGGAGAGGGTCCGGCTTCCTTCCGGCTCCAAGCCTTCCACCTGCCCCCCCCCAAAGGCCACATGTAGGGCTGAGGGGGTCCAGAGCAGAAACCAGTATAATAACACCTGGTCACCTGGTTGTTATATTGGTTATATAACCAATAGCTAACAGAACCAATTATAACTAACCAATTTAATCAATATAAATTTATCCTGTGAGATGAGAATCTCCCTTAGGAAGCAAGTCTCAGCAAGCAGTTGGAGGGAGGCCTTGCCAGCCTGGGCACGGGAGGAGGGCTGCCATCTTTCTCCCCGTCAAGAGGGTCTGATTATTCTGCCCCCCTCACTTTGGGAGGATGCATTGATGGTGTTGCCCTTCTCCAGCAGAGCCTGCTAGCAGACTGCTGTCTGGTTGGGGGACCCTTGGAACAGAGCCCTGCCAGGACAAGCCTGGCATCACCTGGCACCTCCCTCTCGCGTGCCTGAAAGAGCCGGCCAGTTCCGTTGGGTGAAGGCTTCCGGAGGACACTCGCTGCCTCGGGGCCTCCTTGCCTCGTGGAGGCAGCCACTCGGCTCACCGGTGCTCGTGGCAAACGGAAAGAGGCAGCATCCTCAGAAGGAAAGCAGTTGAGGGATGAACGTCTGGCCACATCGGTCCTCTGCCAGGAGGACGCCCTTTCCTCCCTCTCTTCCTACCCCCAAAGAACCCAAAGCGGGTGCCACCCCAGCCCTTCACCTTCCTTACTCCACTCTTACCAGCCTGAATGGCAGGGCAGGCAGACATCCAATGCCTGCTTCAAGGGCACAGAGAAGGTGAAGTAACAGCCAATCGGCCAGCCGACTCCATCAGAATGAAAACATCCCATTGCAGTTTTCTTTTGAGACCTTTGTGAACTTCCCGTCTGTCCTACTCTCCTGGCCCTCCTCTCTGGCGTTTCCTTTCAAGCCAGAGTTCCCCAACCTTTCCGGTTTTGCAGACTGGCGGGGGGGGGGGGCGGAAGAGGGGATAATTCCATGTGAGCAGCGGGCAAGTGCACACACAGCTCCATTTGCCCAAGTGGCGGGCATGAGCACCCGCTGCTGGTGCAAGGGGGGGATGCATGCAGGTGGGCACTCACCTACCACTTCCACGGCCCGATTCCAAACAGCTCATGGCCCAGTAGTGGGCCACGGGCCGGGGTTGAAGACCCCTGCTTTAAACAGTCATCAGGGCTGACCCTGCTCAGCTTTTGGGGAATCAGGCAGCTATTCTGCTCCTTGCAAGGCAGGGTGAGCGCAACATGCCTCCGTCCTTTTATCACGGAAGAGGCTGCGTTCGCCTCGTCAGACTCCAGCACAACAGCAAAGCATTGGCTGACTGAAGGCTTCGCTCTGCCCTGCAAGACCAGGCACGTCCCCATTGCTCTCGTTCCCGGTCTCTGCAGATCCGCACTCAACAACCCCCAGAGCAAGAAGTTCTCTTGGGCGCTGCAGGACTCCGTTGCCTCCAGCCCAGAGTTTGGGGGGCTGCTGGGTTGCGGTCCAGCCACACATTAGTCAGGAGCTCTTAAGGCTTTGATGAGCATAGATGTCACAATGCCCAAATGATTATTCTTTGATTTTCAACCAGGGAAAGAAGAGGAAAAGAGTTCTGCAGAGAGGGAGGCAACACCCTGAGTCCGAAAAATAGGGAAGACTCAGTACATTTCTCTCACATCCTGCCAATGTCAGAAGTTACCCCCACTACTCTTAGAACTGCTACTAGCACTAGTACTACCGCTTCTTCCTCCTCCTTCGGTCAAATCCCTGCCGAGAGTGGTTTAGCCTGGAAAGAGAAGCTACCTTCATAGCTCAAAGTTTTCCAAATAGGCAGATAATCCACCATTTTGAATTCTGCAATGGAGGCATTCAAGTAAACAGGGCCAAGTGCTCTTGATCAAGATGGAGGCAGAAAAACTGGGGAGACCCGGCCTTCCATTGGGAAAGGATTTATCAGTGAAACTTGGCAAGGCCTTGCTAAGGACGTGGGTTTCTCTGATGCTGAAATCGGGAGGAAGCGGCTTTTGCTTGGCACAGTAAGATCAGCTGCCCAGCTCCACACCCTGGAGGCCAAGGCTGCAGCCGATGGAAGGCCCTGCCGGAAGACCACCGGGGAACATCTCCTCTGAGAAAGGCGGGGAAAAGCCCCAAAGAAGCCAGCTCTGCCCCTGCACAGAGGAAAGCCTGCAAAAATGAGGGGACGGTAAACGGCACCGGGATTCCTAAAAAGAGGCCAGTTTGACCTACTTTTGCATCGCCTCCCAAGCCGCGCCTTGGAGCAGGAGAACTGCTGCCTGCCTGAACGTGCCTCGGCAGGCTTGGCCTCTCTGCCAGGGAAAAAAGCTGTTTGCTTTCCTGCGCTCCATTATTCCCTGAAGAGCTGCAGGGGAAGGCTGCGGGGGAGGGGGGCACACGGCTCTTCTCTTCTCTTCTCGGAAAGGGTGACACAGCAGTTCTAAATGAAGGAGAGGGCCCTGCAGCAGCAGCCCTGTTTTTCTCCACTTCTCCAGCCCTGCGGGAAGACCAGGAGGGAGGGGATGTCTTGCCCCTGGGTGGAAATACTGCAGATTTGGGGCAGGGACAGAAGGTGTCCCAAATCCTCTTCTGAACCCTGCATGGAGCAAAAGAGGGCTTATTCGTAAGGTTTCCTGGAAAGCAAACAGGGTGGCAGCCTCCAAAAAGCAATGAGAATGAAGACAGCAGAGTTGGAATAAAAGAAGAAACTGGGAGTGGTAAGAACAGACCACAGGAAACAAAATGCATTAAACTAATTAATCTGCAAGGATGAAAAGTAGCCAGTTCTACCACCACCTTTCCGCCCACATCAATGGATTTATTCCTAAGCATCAAGACGTCGCAAGGGACCAGTTCAGTGTGTCTTGTTAGGAGCACGTCCCCCAAATAATTTAGAGTGCAGCCCCGCCGGCAATCAGGCCGCGATCACTAATGATTTTTAATCATCCAAGACCAGGATGAGCAGCCTTTTGGTGGCTCGGAAGAGGCTTTGATTCTGTGGGGAGGTGTCCAACTAGGGTCAATGCTGCTGAGGAAGGCAGGACCATGCTCCTGTTTTAGCACATGTCTGCACATTTCATTTTAAAATGTTGTCAAGCTGGTGGTTAGGCCTTCCCATGAAATGCATGCAATTCCCCCCTTTAGATGACGGGACACCAACCAAGGAGCCAGGACATTGCTAATCCTCCGTTAAGTTGAGGGTTGGAGTCAAACTTCACCCTTGAAGGATCTGGCAGATCATCTCTCCATATCCCCATAGCTGCCCTGTCCTCTCCTTTCACCCATGGGACCGAAGCATAGGGAGAGCAGCCTCCAAGCCTTCTTCAACGTGGGCTGTTGAAGAAGCTGCTGCCCATCTTCGTGGCTGCTCTCCCAGGCTCGCCCGCCATTCGGAGGCACAGCAGCCATGCCAGAGACTCAGAGCTAAATTTAAACCTTGCCTCTCGCTTCGTGGAGTTTGGCAGCATCAGGAAATGAATGGGTCAAAGCTGATTATTATAGGTTCCAGGCAAGAAGTTGTCTCCATTGTGCTCAGGTAGTGCTTTCAGCCCTACAATTCTGAAATGTTCAGAATTGGTAAAAGCAGCTCTGCAAATCCTTCACTTTGGGGTTAGAGCGCTCTCTATGCCTTCTTTCTTGCCTTAATCGTATGCATCTTCCTCATTATTGTGCTTTGTAACGCTGGCTCGGGAATCCTGGGAGCTGAAGGCTGCCGGTCGTTAAGTCACCACTAAACCACCCCAGAATGGAGGAAACAGCCGCCTTTGGAATCCAGACACAGGGAAACAGAGCTCTGACAATTTCAGGCTGAGATAAAACAAGATGAAATGAGGGAATAAACCCCTTTTCCAAAAAGAAAACAAATCACTTCAGGCAGATGGAATTTGCCTCTCACTTTCTATGCTTGCAGCCAGGGAAGGTGAGTCCTTCATCTTCAGAGTATTTTACCTACAGACTGAACGGGGCAGCCCAGATTCCCATCTCATCTGGGATTCCTGGGAAGGAGACCAAATGCAGTTTTCGCGCTTTTTCTCCGAATTTTATCTATAGCAACGACACCTTTCCTAAGAAAGATACGATTTGTTTCAAGAGCAATGGATAAACCACGATGCACCAGCTCCCCAATGGGAGAGAGAAAATTCCAAGAATTCTCCCAGCTGGGATAAATGTCAAAAACTCCAGACAATCTCTAACCATTTCCCATCCCAAGGAGGGAGAATTGCTCCAGACTTTTTCAAAACATTTGTTTCCCCCAGAAGCTTCCAGAGAGCATTTCTCTGTGAGCGTTATTGGCTTGCAAGGTGAATCCCCCCCCCACCAGACCCCCTTGGCAAGGGAGCCCCTTCGCTTCCGCAGCATTCCAGGCTCCCAGTGCCTGGACGTAAGCCCGGGAGAAACTTCCCAAATATATCTGCTGGCTGCTGCAGAAAAGAGAGGGCTGGTCAGCCCACAGAGGTGGCCTCCTTCCATCTATTCCTCATTCGGCCACTCTGCCCAAAAACAAAGGCTTGGCGAGACAAAAGCAGAGAACACCAGGTGATGTTCACAGGGAATAGGTTTACCTAGATCCTCCTGGAATGGAACCACAACCAGCCGGGGTTCAGTGTGGGCTCCCTGGGCTGGAAGAGGGTTGCCTTCTCCGGGGGGGGCCTTTTAAGTCTGCCCTGTTCCAAATTCTCTGCTGGTATGGAAATGAGATGTAAACATCTCCTTCTGTCACAGGGAAGGATGTTATTTTTCCTACAGCCCCCATCTGGGTGTGCCTCAGACTCCAGTCAGGCCAAAATAACCATTATGTTGCCCAAAGACTGGAGTCTGGCGACCTTTATTTATAGATCCACCCCGCGGATATTTAGGGAAAATGACCTCATAGCTTTGGGGTTTTTAAAATACAATAACACATCCAGGACTACAATAGGAAGTCCATTGGCTTTCCACCCAGGACAGATCTTGAACTGGCAGGCTGTTTGGGGGGTGTTATCTTGGGGGCTGCCCCACCCAAAGTTGCTAGTCTTATACATGTCCCCTTTCAAAACAGAGCAAAAATGGACCTTCTCCCAACTGAACCCGTGTTTAATGCACAGGTACAGAAGGTTTGAAAGGCAAAGAGGCGACAGTTCCATCTCAATTCTGCCTTGGAGCAACCTTTACATCCCTTCTCAGGCCAAGCTAGCCAAATGGACAGGGGCATCTGTGGATTCTATATACGGAGCTGGAAGGGGAGGGTAATGACCACTTCTTCAGAAAAGCGTCATCATCCAAATACCATTGGTGCATGACCCAGACAGACCAGCCATTGTTAATGCAGCTGATGTCCTTCTGGATCAGTCGGCTCTAGATTCACCGGTAGAAAAATGACAACAGCAATAATCCTTCCCATTTGCTTCTTGGGAAAATCGTCTTTCACCGGCCAATCCTCTTGCCTGTCAGATGCTACTCATTTTGCGAAGCATCGAGCTTTTAGGGAAGCCTACTAGGGATGCCTGTTTTGACTGAGGCAGACGGGGAGCGCTTCAACCTGTCTGGGAAACACCCCAGGACGAAGGCTCTAGAGAGGCCCAGCCTTGAGCAGGATTCTTGCCCCGGTGCTTGGGGGCCTCTTGAGGAGTTTTTCAGCTGCCTGAAGAGTCACTTCCCAGAATGAGCTCAGCATTTATGCATTTTGAGAAAGGAATGCAAGCAGGAAGCCAGATCAAAGGTGGAGGTCATGTCTGGAATCACAGCAAAATGAGTTTCTGGCCAAGTCATTAAAGGTAGCAGCCAAGGCTGTCGCAGGGGAGGAAAGGCCTCCTCCATTCCAGGTGGCCTAAGTGAGGACTCTCGCTCCTCCAGAAGGCCACAGAGGGCTACGATCCACACGAATCCGTCCCCCAAGGCTGCCCACAGAGGCTGGCAGGGCTCCCTCGGCCGTGGGGCAGCCAAGTGAGACCCAGAAAAACATCTGCCAGGGCAGAGCAGCTGCCTTGCAGGCCCATCATCGCTGCTTGGGATTGTTTGGGGGGCACTAGAAGTTGGTATCTGGTGAAAGCAGCCGAATCTAGCAGCTCAGTTGTTGTTTCTTAAAAAGGACAAGAGGGCACACTTCACTCTTTCAAACGTCACGATGCCTGGATTTTTTTCATCTTAAGCATAGGACTGGGACAGGTTTGTTTTGATAGGAAAGGAAGGAAAGAATGAATAAAGAGTAGCAAAATGTAAAAGTAGCTTCCATGTAAGGATGAGAAGAAAAAAAAGTGCTACTTTGTGGATGGAAAATATCCATTTTGCTTCCTGTATAGAAGCAACATTTCCTTTTTTGGATACTTTTTAGCATTTTGAATTGGTAACTCTGATTTTTCTTTTTTACTTGTCATTGATTCTGTTTGTTGTCTATGCTTCTCTTCACGTATTTACATGGTTTTGTTATGATGTTGTAAGCCACCCAGAGTCACTTAGATGAGGAAGGCAGAACAGAAATTTAATAAATAAAATAAATATGTTTCTCAAACTTGTACATTTTGAGTTACTACATTAAGTGTGCAGTGCAACGGCTGTTCTCTTTTGCACACGTGTGTTCACAGCAGCTGTTCGCAACATTTGTTGTAGGGGAAAGAGAGACTTTTGCTTTGCTCTGAACACTTGTTGCAAGCTTGCGGGGTAAAAGGGCAGCTTCTCGTCCACCACAAAATCTTCGGGGCATCTTTCCTACCCTGGAGGGATGAGGGCTTAAAAAGAACCT